ACACATCCCATTCCCATTTCAGTCTGACTCCAGTACTGGCCACAATTTCCTCTTCCACCCTCTTTGACTATTTGCTCTTCAAATTCTCCACTCAACATTCCAACATATTTTTGAGTGCTAGTAGTTTAAAAATAAATCAAGATGGGGAGGGAAGATAATACTTGCCCAGAAAATTAAGAAGCAAAAAGTTCTGTAAGTGTATCTGCTCATGAGCAGAAAAAGACATATCAGAACAATTTTATTCTCTGAGATATGACAGCATCCCACAATCTTCCCAGCAAAGTAAATACTTCAAGTGACGCAGGCAACTGAAAATAAATTTGATGAATGACAATTATTTGTATTGCATCAAATGCACTGATTCAAAAATTTAGTCATTCCTGAGAGGCTACATGACAGTTCATTTGAAAGCTTGGAAAAAGATTCCAAAGGTCAAGAGTGGCCAAAGAATTTCAAAGGCAATTTATTCAATCTATTAAATTGAGAAAATGTTGTGTAATTCTGCAGAATGATTCTGCTTGTCATAGTGACAGTCCAGGCCCTCTCATCTACAGGGTCAGGCTTTTTAAAAAAGCCAAGTACAAAATGGTCATTTTCAAAATTAATGCTTAAATGCGAAACAAATTGTTACTGAAATTACTTAGCTGAATATTGAACCTATTGCAATCTGAAATGAAGTAATCAATACTATCTTAATATTACTTATCTTATGTAAGCATTCTCATCAGCTACCGTGATTTAGAAGACTGCTGAACTGACTTATCATACCTGTCAACATTAATTCAATACCATTCCAAGATAATAATCAGTATCAATCTAATTATATCAGCAGTCTCCTGTAAATGAGTACCAATTATTTTAAGTAAAATATTAACTATTTAGAAAATAGATAGGAACATATATTAATAATTTATATGCTTAATTTGAATCTACCTGAAGAAGCATAATTCCTGAACAACAAAGCTCACTTTCTTTGTATCATCCCTCTTTAATATTTTCCAGCAGGTTTCCAGACACAAACTAGGAATCCAATACCAATGATAGGAAAACCACAATATTTATATTCTTCTACTTTGACATGAGCACATATGGACTTGCAGTCTACTATTGATGCTACCCACTTAAAAACTCTTCCAAGAATACTCAACGGATAGTTTCCCTATTTTATAAGTGCAAATAGGTCAGCTTAGGTTTCCTACAAAACTTCATTAGCCATCTGCATGGCTGGCTCTAACATTAAATCCCTCAATTCCTGTGCTTTCTAAACAAGATGAGGTCCCTTCTCATCTCCTTTACAGGAAAACAACACGAACCACTCACATCCTACAATAATATAATCTCGGAGCTTTTTACTTCTTGTTTCTCCTCCTTTTATTTTTAAAGCTGATCTTAGAAATCTCCCTATAGGTTTTCCACTCTGTTTCATAAGAAATAAAGGAAATTTATTCCATTTGTGAGACACAATCACAGAATCATTCAGACTGCAAAAGACCTCTAAGGTCATGGAGCCCAACCTTTGATCAAACACAATTTGTCAACTAAAACATGGCACTAAGTGCCACATCCAGTCATCTCCTGAACACTTCCAGGGACAGTGACTCCACCCCTCCCTGGGCAGTCTGTTCTTAACAACCATTTTTGCTAAGAAATTCCTTCTGATGTCCAACCTGAACTTCCCCATGGCACAGCCTCCCTGAGGCTGGGACAGCAACCACAGCCTGGGACAAGAGGCTGACTCCCACCTGGCTACAAACTTGAATTAATATGCCCAGCTCCCTTGACTCAACATAATTTAAATAGCAAGGGGGGCAGGGGCATCATGAGAGGCAACCACAATGTGATTGAAATCCCAGGCCTGTTTTCTAAATGTTCAGCTAGTATGAATCAAATATTGGAGGACAAGAAAGCACACCACAGGCTATGAACTAGTATATTCAGGCTCACCCAGAAGGTCTGACTACCCAAAGAGAGCCTGAGGAGATTTAGCAATAGTCAAGGAGTTTCATGTTAAAATACAACATCTTGGAAATTTTCATTCAAAAAGCACTTCAGATGACTTATTAAGATTACACTTCATACTGGAATCCTCATTCAAAGTCAAGAAACATCACTGCAATCATCATATCCATAATCTTTACCCTCTGATAAATATACATCAAGACATATTACTTTAACATAAAGTTAAGAATACTAATTCTCTGTAACATGAGATATCATGCCATTCTGTACCAGATGCCCTGCCCTGCATTCTACAGAAGGTATGAGGAAAGAACATTTCCAGATGGAAGCTGAATATTGACAACACCAATGTGCATACAGCAAGGTATATGCTTAGCCTAATGAACAAGCAAATTGGGAAGAAAAAAGTTGGAAATGCAACATGCCATAATACTGTTATCAGAGCTGTAAGCATGCATTTTTCCAAAAAAAAAAGAAACTTAATAGGACAACCAGTTTGTATTAATGTTGTAGTGATTTGTTTAGGTGGATTTTTTGTTTGGTTTGATTGTTTTTTGTTTCATTTAATAAAATTAGAGGCAAGAAGCACAGTTATGGTACAAGCTACATGAGCAGCAGCATTATCTCAGCTTCCCTCGTGGCTAACTGGGTGACTCTTAGGCAAGAATCTAAGCACTCCACAGCTATGCTGGTGTGTCCTGCAAGACCTGTCCTGGAGCTTCCTACCTGTTTCAAAAGAGTGTCCTGCTGCCCAGGAAGGGTGCAAAAAATAAAATACAAGAGAAACAAGTGGTGCACAGTACAACTGCTCACCACCCGCTGACTGATACCCTGCCCATGCCTGAGCAGTGATCAACCCTCATGGCCAACTTCCCCCAGTTTATATATTGAACATCCTACAGGTTGTATAGTATGGAATATCCACTTGGCCACGTTGGGTCAGCTGTCCTGGCCATTCTCCCTCCCAGCTTCTTGTGCATCTCCTTACTGGCAGAGCATGGGCATCTGAAAAATACTTGATTTAGAGTAAGCACACTTAAAAACAGCTACAACAGTGCATTACCAACATTATTCTCACACTAAATCCAAAATACAGCACTGAACAAGTTACTACAAAGAAAACTAACTATATCTTAGCCAAAAACAGGCCAGAGGACTGACTCCAACATGAATTAATTAGTATGTAATTAGAGCCCAGATTTACCTAATCCCAGTTTGTCCACAGACCACTTTCCTCGATTACCTCATTCAAGTCTTCATGGGGCTGGGAACCACAGCATAACATAAGAGGCAAAGCAAGTCTCACACACCAAAAATGTGAAAGTCTGATTTAAATTTCACACTCAAAATAAATTATTATTTGGGTGAAAAAAAGACCCCAGAACAAAACAAAAATTAAATATGAGAAGAGACACATTAACTACGTGCTAATATCTCCCAGCATCTTGTTAGAAGACAGACATATTTGCAAAGTTCTTTATATTCATACACTCAAAACAGTTATTAAATTAGTTTCCTTTCCTTGAACATATCATAGCTAATAGCACTAAATGTCAGGTTTCAAAATTCAATTCGTTACTCGTAGTCTAATTTTTGTCACCATTTTCCCTATAATCTACCTTTAAAACATTTCAGAACTGAGAAACATTTTCACTATTTGTATACTTCACTTTAAAAATGGCTAAAGATATTTCAATGTAAATATTTCCTTCCTTTTCTAAAACTATTTTAAGGAAGATTTTAGCACTGGAAATAGTAACTTGTAACTTGTCTCTTTAGCTCATGTTAAAATTGAAAGCAGTGATGCGGAAACATTTCAGCAGTATTAAGTAAACGGCAATTGAAAATTACAATAGCACCAGGCATTTGAGAAGTTGATACAAATTTCTCTGATTTGAGGATCTATCAGTTGGCAAGAGGCAATTAAAATACATTTATTCCTTTCCTCTGTAGAGAACACCAGGCAGTCTTCTCCCTGCTTATTCCTGATGCCCCAGTTACTCTAAGCCCTAAGATTTCAGCTACTGCAGGTAGAAGGGATGGGGCAGTTCTCCCCCAGGACCCTTCTTCTGGTAAGCTGGGAGGCAATGGATGCTGCCTTTGCTAACCACCTTCCACTGCAAAGCAGAACAGAGTTTCCTTCCACAGAAAGGAAACCAGTTTTGAGATTCAAAAGTACTACCAAGCCAGTAGTTGAAGGAGCATGAAAATTAATGGGAAACTTGTCAATACATCTGTCTCTTGCAGCTGTGCTCATGCTTTAACTGAAGCTTCTCCTCTGTGAAGTGCCTATACATTTGCCACGTGGACTCCTGGTGACCTGTTAATATGCTGATACCTACTGGGGTCCAGGCATGTGGGGAAAGCACCTTACAGGTCTCCTTCCTCTGCTGCTTGTGAAACTTGTTACGATCTCGTCACTTGGGAGTGATGTGCTTTTCTCTCCTTGGAGAAACCAGGCAGGAAGTTCAGGGGAAGGGGTGTTAAGCAGAGAAGCAATGTTCACATAAGACTTACTTCCTTAAGAAACAATGAAAAAATGCTACTCCAAAATCAAATGCAAGTTCACAGGGAAGCTATTTACACCCATACTTAGCTAATTATAATTATACAATTAGTTATGTATGTCATTGTAAATATTTATATATACTTATACAATGCATTATTATAGATCATACAGATAATTGTGCGTATACTTTTATTTATATATTTATACGTAGCTAATTATATAACTGAGGCCACTCTGTTACATATACCTGTGTGTGCTCACACACATTCGAGGCAAGGCACTGAGAACCATAGAAAATAACCTGCCCAGAGACATGGAGTTACAAGGCATTCTGCAGCTCTGCAAGGAGCTCGCCCTTCACGGGAGCATGCCCGAGCAGAGAGAATCAGCTGGGCTGGAAAAGACCTCTGAGACCACCGAGCCCGACACCCGAGCAGCTGCGACCGCCCGGCGCCCCTGACCTTGCCGGGGCCTGCCCTGCGCCCCGCCGGGCCCCGCCGCGTCCCTGCCCCGCGGGGCGGCGGGCACTTGCCTCCCATTCCCGCAGGAAGCGCTGGGCCTCGGCGGGCCCGGCCGCCCTGTGCCTCCGGAACTCCTCCTTCACGTAGCGGTCGCCCAGGTCGCGCAGGGCGGGCGGCAGAGCGCGGTGCAGCTGCAGGATGCGGCGGTACAGGCGCCGCGCTCCGCCCGCCATGGCGGCCCTGGGGCGGCCCTCGGGGCCGGGCCGGGCCGGGCCGCGCCTCCCCCGCCGCAGCCCAAGCAGCGCCCAGCGGCCCGTGTGGGGCGGTGCTGCCCGCAAACGTGCAGCCTGCGTCTCGCCCGTGGCGTTTAGAGCGATACCGAGCAATAGGGTTGCAAATAGTACTTGGAAGAATACATGGAGGATGTTGTTTCACAAAGACGGGTGCGGGTGGCAGAGATCGCGATGTTCATATAAGACTTATTTCCTTAGATAAAGAAATCAGTTCATTTTTGGCTCCAGGTTCACCACCAGAAGAATGAAATGTGTACTTTATACCAGATTAGAATGTGGCACAAATTAATTAGGCCACTAAGCCCCAAGCATCATACGCTTAAATTTGATTTACTTGCATTTTCACTATGAGACGAGAGGAGTCATAGCAAGAAGCTATGCCCCCGTGGGACTTTGTGCCACGGCGTTGTCACTACCGAGAACACTCCTGCGTTCTCCTACCTCCCACTGACAGCTCAAACTCCAATCCTTAGCTCTCCATAAAGCTTTTTCAGCAGCTTAACATCACTTCCAACTCACCCATGTGGAAAAACCCTCAAATGTCAGCAGCCATAGATATAATGGAAAAAGCAGAGTCAGGCAGTGGCAGCAGTGGCAAAAGTCCTGCCTCATTGCGGGTGAGTGTTAAGCTCCTTCCAGCCAGTGAAATTACTCATGATTCAAAACAAAAAGGAAACATTTCCATAGGGCCAGGGAGCATTAAGTTTTACTAAAATACTAGGAAATGACAAAAATGTACTGCCTCATTGAATGCACAAGTCATTATATGAGAGCAACAGAGTAAAAAGCAAAGTACAGGCTATTTTACTGATTATTATTTCTTTATTTATTGTCCTAAGCACTTCATTGATGGAAAACTGAAGTTCCCAGTAACACAAAGTTACTGAAATAAAAGCAAATACTTACAGGTTCACTATTCTCAATGACAGTCCCCTGTCCTTTTCCTGCCAGTGGTGCTGTCAGAGTGAGCAGTTGGGCCCTGGCAGAGGCGGCCTGATCCTCAAATTGATTGGTACAGTTTCATATTTTCAAACTGTGTTTTCTGCAGACATTTCTTTCAGGGAAGATTTCTGGACCTAAAGTATTTTGTCTACCATATGTCTTTCAATATGTTCACAGTTTAAAAGGATTGAGGTTCAAAAACTGATTTGCTGTATCACTTATTTGCAGTGATGCAATTCTTCTGAATCATCTCAGGGTGCATTCATTTAGAGAACTTATTTAAATATTTTATTATATCTTGACCACCATGTCATATTGCACATTGAGAGCTTTTTTTGCTACATCCACCCTGTGTGGTTTTTAGGAGTCCTCTTCTTCCATGGCCTGCCTAAGCCCTCTGCTGGGCACTCACTTTGCCTCTCAGATACTCACCAGGCTCAAATACCAACTCAGGCCGATCTGTGACCTTCAACATTTCTTACATCTCATCTTTCTGTCCACAGAGACCAAAGCAGGTGGTTCCTGCCCAGGAGGGTTCCTGCAGCATCTCTGCACCTCCAGGCTGCTTCAGCTGCAGCTCTTGAGCCTCATCCTTGCACCTTCCCTAGGTTCTGCGAGGGGAGTGAGGATTTATCAATGAATTCCCCGTGGAGCAGAAGATAGAGCTGTAAGTTCATCAAGATGCTGATAACAGTCTAAGTTGTCAGTCTTTGTCTAATAACAATTTTTATATGCCTAAGTCCTTGGAGGTCTCTGCACTATCAGCAATGTGGTGAGGCAGCAGAGGCAATTGAGTGCCTTATTCTTTGTGTACAGGCACAAACAGACTCACCATCAGAACTCCTTAAGACATGATGCAATATTAGAGGTATTCTTTCCATATAATGACTTCTCAGTCATCAGTACTCAAAATGTCTGTGCCACACTTTGAATCCAGATACAATTTTAATTAACACACAAGTGCAACTCCTTTGCTTGCTTCTTGGTGGTGCCTGCCTCTGCTTCCAGGCAGCACTGCTTCTGTGCAGGGCACTGGGGCATCTGTCCTGCTGCTCCTGGTGCTCCACAGCCCATGAGCACTTCTTAGCTTGCATCAAAGAAAGAGGCACCTCAGGAGAGTGTTCATCCCACTCCTTTTTCGGCAGGTGGAGGCAATTTAGCACTACTTCCTTTCAAGTGTCAATAGAAGGCTGTACTACTGTGGGGCCTATTAGACAACCCATAATGGATTATTCTGTACCTGACTGTGCTTTAGAGCACTGGGTCAGTGTTTGTTTTGCTAGAAGTGTGGATCCTACCAGAGTGTCTTTGTGCCATGCTCCATCATAGTGCCTTTGGGACTGGGGAGGCAATGTCAGCCCTGCAATAGGTCAGCACAAAAGCAGGTGGAGTGACTTAGCCAATATATTAAATCTCTATTTGCATGACTAGTGACTGTGTGAGTAGCATCTCAGTCTTTTCCCAAGGATATACAAGAAATCTGTGGTAAAGCATGGATGCAAAGTGGTTTCTTAGCCATCCTTCTGAGCTTTTGACCCTGTGAATCTGTCAGAGTGGCCATGTTGTTTGCTACAGTCCTAATTCCAAATATAGAAGGACTGGAGGAACACTTCCATGTTTATTTTTTCCTTTTAGCAGTAATATGTTGACTATAGAAGATGAAGCTGAAGTATTTATTGAGCTGGTATAATTGCTGTAATTTTTTAAATTATCAAGAGCATCCTGAGAGAAGTTCTTTTTGTGAATCAAAATAAATGATTAAATATAGAATGCAATGAAGTGGTATTTCTTTCCAGAACTGTTGGTACTCCTGATGAAGCTAAATTGTATTGTCATATTTAAAATATACCCCCCAGAATAATATGCAATCTTTTCTCTAAATTGTGGATTAATGTTAAAGTACAGTCTAATTTCCTGCTATTAAAAAAAAAGTATAGCCCTGTTCCATGTTTCCTTTTTTTGCATTGTGCAGATCACAATAAAATTGCATCTCTCATTTCAGAAGTATTATGTTTTTAATAAGCTCTCTAAGTATTTGAATATATTCAAGACAGTTTCTTTTTGCATGCTATTCCAGACCAAGGCAGATTCAAAAACCAAGTGAAAGATCTGTTATGACAGCACAAGTTGTCTACTAAACATTCTGTGGCACCTTCCAATGTGCCTCATAAGCTAAAAAGACACTGAATTACCCCTGCTCTGTAGGAAACATAAACATAAAATTAATACCTTCATAAATGACTTAGAAAAAAGTCATTTTTTGGGTACTTAGAGATTCTGAGGATGCTTCTGCCTCTGTCAAAGTGGAGTGGAGTTTCGTCCTTGATTCAACAGAAGCAAAATCAGTCTTAGAACGGGACTGTCTGCTTCAAAATCCATGCAGAAGTTGGACATGCAACCTACTATAGGTGGATGCTGCTAAAACTGGACCAGCTCTTTCCCCAGGCTTGGGGAAGTAGAGCTGATGAAGGCACCAGTGGTGTTTGCTGTTGGCTGCAGAGGCTGGACACTGCCTGTCCATGTCTGGCCCAGAGTTCTGCACACAGCCTGTGCTTGGTATGCTCCAGCCTGGTCAGCAGAGCATGGTAGGGAGAGCCAGACAGGTGATTTTCTTCCAAAAGCTCCATTTCAGTGAGGAAAAAAGATGCCATAATAAACATAATTTGGTGCAGCTCATCAGGATGGCTTCAGGTACTCACTCACACATGCATCTGATAGTAGAATGAAAACAAATAGAACACAATTCTGATGAAATAAATATAGCACATGACAATTTTGGAAGGGAGAGGCAGTCAGCTGGTTTTGGACTACAGTCAATTACATGCTTGGCATGCTGGTAGCTTTTGGACATTCAAAGGAAGTTCTGCTTTGCTTCAGCTTATGCTTGAGCTTCTCATTCATTGCAGGATTTCTTGTACTTTCATCTGAAACATATGATCCATATTATCCAAAACAAATTTTTGACAGTTCCTGAGGAAGCTCTGCTTGCCTCCTGCAGACATGAAAGATGCCAAGCGTGCCAAAATATTCAAAGTATTTAGCTACCAAACTCTACCAAGTTTCTGCTTGAATATGTGAGAGCAGAGCTTTGCAGCAAGCCAAGTGTAGGCAACATCAGCCTGGAGGAATGCCAGGCTTGCACGTGGACCCTCCTGCTCACCATCTCCCCACCTTCATCTCCTCTCTCTAGTCCAGCACTGGATTTCAAAGCACACAGGCAGCAGCATGTCTCAGGGAAGGGTTGTGAAAGAAAAAGAGAAGGTTGCGATTAACCTTGTGAGGGTTTTCTTTAATCTCATTTCAGAAACATCCAGCATTCAGTGGAAATTTTCTAAAGGGTTCTACTCAGTGAACTGATTCAAAATTAAAATTTTGGATAGAATGATTAAAGAGCATCAAAACTCAATGTAATGGCAGGGAAGATGGTTTTAGGGGGAAAATCCTACACCATCTTTTATAGATGGTGCCAAGTCAGGCTCTGAACTGGAAATCTTTTCATCCTTAAGCTGTTGTTGTTTTCAACATTCAAAGAAAGCATCCAAAAGATTGCCTATATTGCAAAACATTTCTTCTACTTTTAAAAATTCAAACAGAATTTGAAAATGTCATTTATTTGGAATTGCTTTGTGTCTTCTTCTCTTGTGAACAATCTTTTTAGTAAATACAGTACTAGTTCACTTGGTTAATCTGCCACATGTGCTGTTCTGTTTAACTGGGTACAAATTCTGTAAAAGATGCAATATTCTGCTCTTAATTCACATAGTAAATTAATTAAGAGCAGAATGTTGATGCTGAAATAAATAAAATTTGAAAGCATACATTTCGTTATTTCAAATATAATATGAAGTGTGCACCATTCATAGGTAAGGCTTCATTTTCCTGTTCTACTTAGTAAGTCATTGTAAAACTTAAAGCCATGCAAAGATGCTTCCACAAATCCATTAAAATTCCTTCCAGAATAACACAAAAAGAGCACAGAAATTTTTGTGTTGATGCTTTTAAGA